TCCGAACGCAACTTTACCAGTTTCTGAACTAAATGCTCCAAGTCGAGGCCCGTGAACTACAGCAAGCACGCACGCGCGGGGACCCGCGTGGAAGCTTCGACCTGGTGCCGGTGTCCCCTGCATTCCAATGCAATTTCACCTACAAACAGCATCAGTAGTAACATCAGTATATAATTACATATACGCACGCACAAACAAATATAACATCCCAACTTTAGGGGCCCCTCCCTGGGTCCCTGCTGAGATGCCCGGAGTTATGCCGGGGACGGGCTCAAAAGAAGTTAAAGAACTCCATTCAAGTTGTCGTAAGATCGTCCATGCAAGTGTCAAGAGCTGTCAGAAGCCAACCAACTCTTCATAATATGATTGACGGAATGCTAGGATCTGTCTAGGGCCTAGGGGAGAAGCCGGATGAACTGCTACACAGCTCCTTCCTGCTTTTGGTGTTTCACAGCTGGTGGCTTCAGTACGCGGCACAGGCCTACTGGAAGATGTGGGGATCTCTACGCGGCACATGGCAGCCGTTCAAGGTGGGCCCAGCCCGCGAGCGGCGTCGGTGCCTTGTTGAATGGGCTTGCTTTCCGGTGGTGTGACCCCATGCAAGGTGCGTGGGTGAAATGCCTAGGCCCGTCCGGACGGACTGGATGGGTTTCAAACCCTGAAGAGTCACATTGCTGTCGATCGGAGAAGCCTCAAAAGGACGCCATCGAATCTTCAGGTTTGTTTTTTTTCTTCATCCAGAGTCTAGCATCAAGGGGTCTCCATCCCACCCAGCTGCCAGCTGGAGTTCTTGCCCTCCCGGCTCTAGCTGGGTCACCTCGAGGCGGCTCCAACAGCTTGCCAGCACTGAGCCCGGAGTGGACCAACGCGTCCGAGCTGGAGAAGGTGCCAGGCTTAAGAGGAGAAGCCCCAGGGAGATGCAGACCAAGCAAGATTAGAGCTCGCGTGGGTTGGTAATTTAATCAGAACTGCCCCCAGCCAATGGGTTTGGGCCGAGGTCAAGCTTTTGGGGATTGTACCATCTGCTCAGCTCCCATCCACTGGATATGTTTTTAATGTTGCAGTGACTCGCGTTCTGTTTCGTTTGGGTCCCTCGTTTCTTTTCTGGAACGCCCGCTGAGTGACGAAGCGACGTGGGCATGGCTTACCCCAACAGAAGGCCATCTTCCTCTTCCAAAGGTGGACATATGCTGCAAGGTAGCTTGTGCAAGCAAGGCCATATGTTCAGCGAGTCGCTAGTGTGGGTAGAGGGCCTGGAGGTCTACTTGTCCCTCCAGGTTTCTTGTCATGAAGCGATCGTGTGTGTTTAATACGGCCAAGCGGAAGCATTTGCTTGGTGGCACTGTCAATCAAAAGAGGAATATATTTCACCCAGGCTGTGGCAACTCTAGGGTTTTGCAAAGCAGATTCTGAGGCAGAAGCTGGAGTCTTTATGTAAATTTTAAATTGATGAACCACTTCGTGTTTGGGCTGGGGGCACTCGCTGCTTGTGCTCAACAATTGTCTCCAATTGGCCGGCGCAGTTTTAGGCACACGGCGCGCATGACACATGTGGAATGATAGAAGGGGGCCAAAGAGAGATTTCCCCGAGATTTTTTCCAACTCCGCGCCCCAAAAACGAATAGCCACATAGAACTCCCCAACTCCTGACCCCACTAGAAGCCACATTGAAGTGCCTGCATTCGTTTCGAGTGTTGAGGTAGAGTCCAACACCAAGCTGCTACTCATCTCAGGTCTACTTCACATCAGGTCAACCCCAGCCCCAAGAACGTGCCCCGTACTTCCCGTGAACCGAACACACGGGGGTTCGTACGCCTGCCCTCGCCATGGATGTCCGTGCGATGGAGTCTTGGTGAGATTGGATGCCGACCGTGGACCGGCATGAGGTGTGGAAATAGATGGGCTGTGAAGGGCTGTGAAGTGGGTTGGGCCTCATACCTGTGTCGGGAGTCATGAGTCATGCATTTTGTGTAGTGTAGTGAAGTGCAGTATTAAAGGAGGTATGGAGGCTGCAGTTTTGTCTGAAACTGTTCTGACATGGCTAATTTAATGGCGAAGGATATATACTTGTACTGACACATGCAGAGCAAACACCTCTGGCCAACCTGAGAATCGGCCCGGATGACCTGTGAAGCCCAAACTGGAGCCCCGCACTGAGGAGTTGTGGGCACATGCGCCAGCCATTGTGGAGAAGCTCTCGGCTGCCATCAAGCAGCCCTTTATCATCAAAATGATGTGAGGGATTTCATCCGGAAGTACCCTCCCACCCACCCCAACAGTGCCAGCAAAACCAGAGGACAGGTTGAGTGCCATTTTCGGACAGGATTCGGATTGATTATGATCTATGATTGATTTGGAAGGATCCGAGTTGATCCCCCGAGTTTTTCCAACTTGCAGGTTCTTTTGCCTACAGCAACTTTGGATGGAACAGCAATGGCCAGCAGCCAGCACTACATCAGGGTTCTTATGAGCTCTTCAACGCCACGACCGGCCACGACACCTCACAGACCTCACGTAGTATTCTCCTTCTTAGCTAGTAACAAGGGCATCGAAGCTAGCGAGTGGCAAGAAGCTACGACCGTCACAGCCCGATCACGGAACCCTGGCAGGGGTCTTTTGGGAGCGGAATCGCCCGGAGGAGTGGCACTTGAGACCCCGCTCGCTTTCTCGCCCCGAGGCCTAGTGGGCCCAGCGCCGCACGCGAAGATTTGTTTTCGGTGCTCGGCATCGATGGAGGGCCGCAGACCGTGGAGGACGGCGAGGTCACCGTGGAGGGGTCCACGAAAAACGGCCAGGTCACGGCCCTCTTCAGAGGGCACAAGAACCGCCACCGCCATCTGCCTTGGGGGTCCGTTTTCTGACGAAAGCTTAGCCGTGGGACACAGTGACCGCAGGAGAACAAAGCCGGCATCGACGACTTTGAGTATGCATTGCAGGTGGAGCCTCAGACGACTGCACTAGACCTGGGCCTTTTTGTCAATGCCCGGGTGCGTTGGTCGATGGTGAAATCCATTGGTTTTGTGAGACGAACCACGGAAGTGGAACATGTTGATGCTTGAGCGTGCTCCCTACACTCGCGTGATCGCGTAGCGATGAGTCCCGGGCAGCTAGAGACGAAACACGCGACATGGGCAGCTAGAGACCTGCAGAATGGAACACATATCCCGTAGGGAGTCAAAGACTATAAAAAGAAGTGTCTTTAAGGGAACTGAAAGGGAACATCCTTTACTCCAGCCGGTCAAAAAATAGTCTTTGGACTTCTAGGGTATATATATATACATAAATAGGGCATTCCACGCCAGGTCATTGGCTAACTTGTGATGCGCAGTCCCAGTGACTGACTTCGGGGAGAAGACAGGTCGTCCTTGATTTTGGTCACTTCAGGGTATGCCTTTAGAGGAAATTGACTTCACATGCCTCACGTGCTGAAGGCGCTTATACGAGAAGGTTAGTTTGGTTGCCAAGGTCCAGAAGAAGGCCAGGTCAACCTTCATGATGTCCGTCCCTGCAGGCTGCACTTTTGCAACGCCTTGAGCAGCCAGAAAGCGATGACAAAGAAGATGTGCCTTGGACGGGGGCAGATGATCAAGAATTCGTCCACCCTGGACTGTTGGCACATTGCAGGTAGAAGTGGTAGGGACGTGTAGGGACCAATGGGATCCAAAGCCTTGACAAGGAATAGTATGAGTGTAGCTAGGATTGAGTGTGTCGGGGCTCAGCAAGTCCATGAAGCCATGCACCAGCAGACCGACCAGAGACTCAACAGACTGTGGGGGGTCCTGGGGGTACTATATGTACCATATCTCGTGTAGCTTATACACCTAAAGATAAACTTAAATAAGTTATATGCACCCATAGCATCCAATAGCCAGTCATGTATCTACCAGAAACAAGTCTATCTATCTTCTTTTTTTCCTCTCTCTCTCTCTATGCATATATATATATATTTACATGTATACCTCTTCCTAAATAGGCGCTCTGAAGAACACGGGTTGTCAATCCGACCCCAAACTGGGCCGTTCTCAGCCGATAAAAGAAGCCGTTCTCATCCCATGGTTCAAAGGGATCTCCCACATGGAGGCATGTTCGGCATGTTTATCTAAGCTTATCTCCAAGCCACTGGAGCCCAGCGGACAGAGGACACGAACCAAAACGATTGGCGTTCCAAGTGATGTGGCAAGCTCTCAACTGCAAAGAGGACAGCTATGCGTTTGCGATGAGCCTGTCTCTTTCTAACATAGCACCGGAGTTCGAAGTCGTCCCAGTCACCCGGTGCCGCGTGTGTTCCGTGAAGCTGCCCAGGTGCCGCGCATCATCGAGTTAGCTGCCGAGTGCGTGTGTGCGCTCTACGAGCGCGCCAGCGCGCCGGACGTCTCGGCCTCCGAGACGGACCGGTCCTCCCGGCGGTCTTCTGCGGGCGGGTCGGAGACGTCGGACGGGTGTGGAGACCGGTGGTGCGCTGATGTCAATAGGGAATATGCTTGAGAACGGCAGGTAGAGAGAGAGGAGGGAGGGAAGGGAGGGAGGGAGAGAGAGAGAGATAGATCGAATCAGGTGTACATATTGAATCATATTGAATACAAGTTGAAATTCCATGCTTGCAGGTGCCAGTGGGTGGCGACCAAATTCCATCCGGCTTTCGCCTCGGCCCAAAAGCTAAGGCCAAAGTGCCACGCTCGACATTCGCGCGCAAAGACAGTCACATGCAGATGACTGGGAACTGACTTCTATCCCAGAACAGCTGGATAGACAGTGCGAAGGCTTTGAATATCCAGACGTTCTCTCCATTCCCAGAGGCACAACCCCCTTCCGGATTTCGGAAAATCTCAAACGCACGGCTATGCCGGACACAGGGCGGCTTGGCGGAGATACAAACCCACCTATATATAAAGTTTGCCCTGTTTCCCCCAGCCAAGAACCAATGTTCAGGGAGCACGGCTCCATACTTGTAGTGGGGGCTACAAAGGTCCAGTTAGTTTCTCCCCTCCTTCCATTGGTTCCCCCGCCCAGACCCCTGGACCTTCAAGTGCGTGGACTAACCTGTGCTGAAACAGCATGTCCTCGCGGGAGATGGGATCGCCCATGGCGCAGCTCACCTTGCGGGAAAGAGATCCGGTGGAGGAGAAATGGGTTAGGGCGAGAAACTCTCCATCTCTATTGGACAGATATGCTTTTTGTGTTTTTCAGATGTGCCAGTTCAATTAGCGAGCCAGATGCAAATAGCGAGCCACCAAGATGGGGACTGGCCTGGTTTGGTCGTAGGTGAAGGTGAGTCAAGTCTCGGGGCCTCGTAGAGCTTTGGTCGATGAAAGAGGAACCTTGATCAATCGAGCAGACTACTAAGTTACTAAGTAATACTAAGTATATCAGTCTAAGTGATCTAAGTGCAAGATTATGGTCCTGGAGCATTGCAACAAGTCCCCGGTCAGGATGACGTTCCTACAAAGTTTGGACTTGGGGCAGCTGGTTGCAGGGTGGATTTTTGGAAGCAAAGGCATACGGCATTTGTATTGGACCAGGGTCCCATCCTCCAACTTCTGACTTCTGTTTTGGACAGGCCTCTGCAATCACTTCCAGATTTTTGTGCTGATCGTCTGGTTAGTTAGAGGCCCATTTTCCCTCCGAGGCCATATCTTGGGGCCACATCCAGGGCCTGGAGGGAAGTAGGATCCTTTTTGACGGGTTGCCTCCAGACATATCTCACACAAACGCTTCACAGAGCAGCATAGCCACCTCACCTCTGACAGGGCTTGATTTGCACCTTCGGTTTTGCATCTTTGGATTTGCAGGTTGCAGGTTTTGTGAGAGAACGCCGTGCTCCAATGCATTCTCCCTTTTTTTGGCTTGCATGTTTGCTCATGGGGGTGTTGAATGCTGGTTGCAATGCCTCGTCAGGAGGACCCCGGGACACCTTCAGATCAGAGCGAGGAGTCCACCGATGACGAGAAGCCTCCTCAGTTCCCCCAAACCCTTCGGGATCCGGATGTTGCGAAGATTTTGCTTAGCAGCTTTGGTCTTTCTGGTGCTGTTTTACTTGACGTCAAGTGTCTGTTTCATTGTTGAAGGAGTCTCCTTTCCGGGGTTTTCATCAGGCTGGCGTGGGGAGAGAAGACGAGATGTGATGTTTTTCAGTCAGGAGATTTCGGATGACTTCAGGACCCATGCCTTTAGGACCTAGAATGATCCAAAAGGCACACCTTAGGCACGAACCAACCACGCTGAGCACGCTATGAGGATGTGGGAGCTATTCCCTCCAATGTGCCGAGAAGCTGCACCGACGTTGGATGGTTATTGCTTTACATTGCTTTCAGCGCGCTAGCTATTGGGGTGGGGGTCTATGTTTGGCCACTGGGTAAGCCAAGCACATTGCTGAGACTGGCGGACTGGCAGGGGGAGAAATGTGGCTACGGCCCCAATGAAAACCGGACCCTGCTGTATTTCTGCCCAGAGAGTGCGAACCATCAGCAGCTAGACATGGAGCGCTTTGGGTCTGGATTCAACCAACATTTTCACCTATTTTCATGTTCATACCCTCCCTCCAACAAGCATGGAAGTGGAACATGGCCTCTTGGAAGACTGTTTTCCTCTACAAACCGATGGTTTTCGACTTCCATGATTGTTTCAGGGAGAGTACATGTTCCATCATTTTCCATTGTTTCGCTTATAAAATTCTACAGGCCAGAGGGATGGCAGATGTTTGGAGCACTCTGGGATGTTTGGAGCCAAGGTATCCGATCTGTGTGGACACTTGCCCTCAGGGTGAGCTGATTGTTTGCCCGAAGAACCAGAACAGAAAGACGACCACTGCGGAGCCGAGTAGCACCAGCACTGAGAACGCCTATGCTCACTATTTCCATTCAATCAAAGAGTCCAACAACGGTGGGTTGCCATACCCTCCATATCCGTCAGATGGCGCCTACGAGCAGTATCCGCCTGGGCATGCATTCCGCTATCCGTTCTATCAGACGCCCTTTCACTATCCACCACCCATCTACCCGCCACCTATACCAACAGGGACAACTTGGAACCCAGAAAACAATCCCACAGAAGGGCTGCCAAAAAGTGAGAAGGTGACCAGTGTTCAGTAGCTTGTTTGCATTCAGTGACGGCCAGCTGTGCAGTGGCCTGTTGGAGCAGGGGAGGTGGTTCTTGAATTTATGAGTGGTCAAGTAGTCACTGACAGCCAGATTTGTGTTGGACCTCAATTGAACGTAGACACCCACGAACTGCCCATGGCGGCTGAAAGTCATTTCTCAACTTACTTCAGGAACGCTTTCACCAAAGCTGCCTTAATCCACAACCGGCGCAGTGAACAGTTCATTGGACCGGGTAGCGGGATGACAGACTTTCTGTTTCTGGATCTTCCATTGATCTTCCAGTTCTTTCGATTTTAAGCCGCCTTTTGCATCCTTTTTCAATTTCGATCCTTGTTCCAGGGACTTGCCATCAGATGCCATCAGTAATCCTCTTTGCATCTGGAGATGTTGCAGGTTACTGGTCATATTGCTCTCAGTCCGCTTGATGCAAAAGCACTCCGCCCAGGTCACCGGTGGACCCTTCGGAACACCGGCGGATCCTGTCGCTGGTGGATCCTGACGCTCGATGAACGGATAGTACAGCGATCGGAGGTCTTGACTCGAACGGTGCTGGTGGGTTTTCCCGAGTTTGAGGGAGAAACGAGCCGAGTTGGAGTTTTCATCGGCTGGCTTTTCAACTCTTTTTTCACCCACCCGTGAGTAAGCACATACGTATGTACCTACGTACTGTGTGTGCGTGGTTCTGTGTGAACTTTTTCCTTTGGTGTCGTGCTGTTGGTGTGTCGGGGCAATGAATCTGAAGGTTTAAATGGCGGAGGCAGATCCGCGCGACGGTGGCTTCATAGTGATTTGGTAAAGCCCAACTTGTGCAGAACAAACAATTCATCAGCCTCAAGCCGCGTTGTGAATGCTAGTAAATGTACTGATCGGTTGGGTGTTGGGGATTCAGCCTTCCAAACCTGGAGGCAACTCTATAGGCCTCCATGGGCTCTATATATATATAGGTTTGGTCATTTGGCTGGTGTGTATGTGTTTGTTGGCCCACACTTAAGAAGTCCCCGCCGTTTGTCCCGGAACCGGTGCCGCGCGGCGCCGGTCGCTCGTTCGCTGGCAAGAACTTGGTGGTCCTCAGCGACTGGCGAGGGAACTTCACCGTCTATCAGGTGCACTCCTACACCTCCGCGCCTGGGCGGAACGACTCGTCCGCGTTCACGACGGAAGACTCTCGCGCCCGGGGCGTCCGAGGGTGGCGAAGGACCCGGTGGTAAGAGGAACGAACGAACTCGGGACCCTGGTCTTAGAGTGAGGAGAAAGAAGTGAATGGAGTAGATCACTACTCGTATTCGATCATATTCCCTTGCCCCAAGAGGGCTGTTTGCGACTTGAATCCGCCCTCCAAAAAGTGTAGAGGGATCGATCTAGTGTACTGATGGCTATCCAGATAGGGTGATCTCAAAGCGATATGCAAGTAACTGCAAGTATATGATGGTATATTCATGTATATTCACATATTTTGCTGAGTGCGATGCACCGATCGACAAAAAACCGAAGTCTGGTTGGCTGGACTTAGGGGACTGTTGCACCATCACTTGTCAAGAATTGAACTACCTAGCGCAGCAGCCTAGTTGTTCCCCTGAGGCGCCTTTTGTGGACATGATTTGCAAGCCTTGGGTTGGACCATTGGAGCGTCAAGTCCAGCTTTGGATCGACCCTCTGCAGATGACACGGGAGCGGCGAAGAAAGAAGTTGGACAGTCCGGGCGGTGGTGGACATGGGGCGAGTCGGTTGATGTGGGAGACAGAGGTGGATTGAAGACCTGATGGGTGGAGAAGACTAAAAGAGAGATAGAGAGAGAAGAAAGAAGTGGGAAAAGATCACAACCACCATGGGAAGTCAGAAGAGAAGATTTTACAGATTAACACGCTTGGACGTGCCATTTGAGGGCTACTTCTGTGTGGGTTTTGGCATTCAAGTCGCCCACCGAATGCATAGCTCTCCTTCATCCTTTTTGGCTGCAAATGGTTTTGGTGCACAGGCTCCCCAGGAGACACCTGAGACCAGGAAGTCTAGATGAGTTCGCAGTGGGCCAGGCGAGTGCCTCCACTGAGGATAAAACTCCCTTGGTCAATACTTGGGCGACCTTGATCAACTCCTATTGGCCCTTGCTGGTGGCTGCGGGCACCGGCGTGGTCATGAGCTACGTCCACTTGGCTTGCAAAAAAAAAACTATTCGATCGCCCAAGAACAACACCGCGAAACGAGTCTCCACAGATGAGGTCAAGGTCTCGAGTTGTTGCTGATCGCCTTGCCACTTCCCTTTTGATTTGGGGAAGTGGCCCAACACACAGGTGGTTTTGGTATGTTTTGGTTTGGGCATCGCCCAAGAGGGTCAAACGAGCGATCCTTGTTTCGGCCGTGAACCTTTGTCAGACAGACACTTAAGCATCTTCAACCCAGCTCCAGGAGATGAAAACACTCATGTGTCACGTTTCGGCGACCTCTTGGGCCATGTGTTTTCTCCCCGCGTAAAAAGACGGTTTGTTCCCGCGACCAGTCCGAACGCACGCGCTGGTCGTGTTAGAAGACACCAGGTCTTCATGACCCTACTTCGCTTCCGGGCGGCCATGCTCGTGCGCACTGGCATGGTGGTCCTGGTCTCAGCACCCCTCATCACAGGCGGCGAAACACGGCGCATCGACGTGGGGCCCCGGGTCCACCGTCGGTGCCCCGGTGCCCATGCCCGGTCCGGGCGTCGTTTCTTCGGCGCACTGTAGCTACAAGGCGAAGACAGCCATGACTCTAGTCATTTCGAAAAATCCATCGGTGCAAGGAAGCTAAGCCTTTAAGCGTGATTGAAGAAACACAACGGAAAAAAAAGAGAACGGGAACAGTGGTTCTTCGGCTTCTTTGTTAATTCGGGGCATTGGTCTTCCTACACTAGGGCGTCCCTGGAGATGTTTTTCTACTTGTGGTGTCAGCCCTTGCTGCAAGGCTGACTCCGACTTGCATCGCTCATACATGCAGCGCCCTTGCTTTTCAAAACACATGTCCTTCCTATTCCTTCCTACTGTATACATGTCGGTACGTCCTTTTCAGCCCCCGGAGTCGCTCCTATCGACAGAGCCGACCCAATGGTCCCACCTCCGCTTGGTCTCAGCTTGGGAGACCACCGAGAGGATTGTATTACGGCTTCTGCTGGTATCGGCATTGCCATTGCTGGGCCAGTACCAAGGAGACGCAGACGGGACCTGGTCTCCGGGATTGGTCAAGTCATCGGGTGGGCTCATGAGCCGCCCATGGGCCGGGCTTTTAGGCCTTCTTTGGATTCATAGGCGAGCATAGGCGAGCACAGCCTCTCGGGTCTGAGTCACTTGTCCCTGGTCATTTGGGGTGTTTGGGAGGCATTTCTTTGAGCTGGAGGCATGTTGCCGCTGACTTGCGTAGACTTGGTGGCAGCTGAGACTGTCTTCTTGGATTGAGCGATGAACACGCCATCATTGATTGTCTAATGGCTTAGCGAAAGAAGTAGAGTGTTGTGCAAAGAATCTGCTGGATTAGGAATAATATGACTATGAGTTGTTAGGTTTGTATCATTTTGATGAACAATATGACTTCAGGTTGGTGACGCTTGGTAGATTCTGGTAGATGTTGGCATTCCATGTGGATGGCTGGTGTTGTGCTTTTAGTCCAATGCTGTGCACTGGAGACTAACAAGTGGTTCAACCGCTTGTTAGAGCCTACAGTTCTATCCAAGCACTCCTTCATACCTCTTCATGGACAACATCATTCATCACTTTTGAGCAAATTTGAGCAACGCAACATTCTGTTTTCACATCGCCATTTACATGTGTCCTGTTGACCATTTTATGTAGGTATTGGTCCAGAGTTCACCCACTGGATGCAAGTTCTTCCTGCCCGTACAGATCCACCGGGGTAGGGTGTATCTCGCCATTACCAGTCGGTAAAAGATCATCACCATTTTTGGGACAGGATGGGAAAGGTTTTTGCTGTCCATCATGGTCTCGTGTTGACCCGTCAAACGTGCTTCTCATCCGTTTTTTATGCAGGATCGCTTTACGGACGGCCTGGTGGCAGTCGCCGGACTCGTTGTTGGCTTGGGCTTCTCAACGATCACATGGTCTTTGAGGCCGGACCCGTCGGTCTTCCGACCGTTGGACCGTTGGAGCCCACTCATCGTTGGACCGTTGGACCTTGAGCGAAGTGCAGACTGTGGACCAACTGGGCGACTGGCTGTCAATGTGGGTGTTCTTTTTGCGCTGTTCTGGTAGGGGAGGAGAACATCGCGCGAGTTTTTTTGGTCCCTTAAGCCATGAGCTTGCACTTGTTTTGTGTTTGGTTCCCACGACTGGTTTTTTTCTAGTTCGTTTTCTTCTTTGAAGTTGTCTTACCTCATACCGTCTCCATCGACCCATAACTGGATTTCATACATTAGCTGTTCTTCTGGTCTCATCAAACATAAGAAAGCAGAATTGTGATGATCACTAATGTGTAGGGAAACTGGGAAACCCAAGAAAAGGAGTTTAATGACCAAAAGAGGAATCATTCAAGGAGGACTACCAAATTACTCATCAAAGACTGCCAGGATCGACTGGGTCTGCTAGGTAAGGGTAAGAGCAATCAACCCTTTTGCATTTCACCCAACTCCTTTAGACTTGATTGATGCACACGTTCTGCAGGGTAGAAACAGTCAATCATAAGTTAAAGATGTAAACCCCTACAGGGCAACAGAAAGTCGCTTATGATACTTCAAACTTCAAACCAATTGCGTTTGCAAGGAAAGAGCTGAGCAACAGGAACAAGAGCTGACCAGTAGTCGACAAACCAGTCAAGAAGGGTTCAGAGCTGCAGAGGGCGAGGCTAATCTAAAGGCTCCCGGTATCATACTTAAGCAGTCCAGATGACACAGATTGGATTCCATTTTGTGTTTGGGTAGCACCTTGTCCAAATTAAAAGAAACAAATATAACAAGAACACCAAAAGACAATATATTGCCGGGGCAGAAGCTGATCAATCCTTGTGCATTTGCATTTGGTCTAGCGTGTAGGACTTAGGAGCATGAGGTTTGTGCGCGCACAGAATGAACATGCTCGGTATCGAAAAGGTCCTTGTTTAGACTTGGTGAAGCATATGCACCAAAAAACGAGCATGTCGGCCACACTTGGTCGAGAACACCCTGTTTCTGTTTCCAGACTCACAGAGGTTCCGGATGACTTGCTTCTTTGGGGCAGTGCGGATCTTCCCTCAACCTGATACATACGAGCAACTGCAAACCTCCGATGAAGGCAGCATCACTACAGTGAAGACTAAGTACGTGAAGTAAGTAAAAACATGTAAAAACGTTGGGCAGAGTGCGCAAACACAAAACAAGTTTTGCAATCAGCACCTCAGATGTAGCACCTCGACGTCGCGTCCGGTGCGCACCTCGACGGATGGTCGGCAGGGAAGCGACGGATCTGGCTGTGGAATGCATCGAATGGTCCTGCAAAGCGGTGCTCGAGACGCCGACGCTCGGAGGGATGGACCGGGATGGACCGGAGGGGTTGACCGGCTAAGGGTTTTAAAGGAGCAACGCACGTAACAAGTGCATCGCTACTGGTATCGACTAGTAGCTATTGTCGACTGGTAATTAATGCACTTGTTCCTAGTAGCGATGCGGTTTTAAGCAGAACGACCATGGTTCATTATTGATCATTATTGTACCAAGGGTTTTGCACTACAAAGCCATGCGAAGCGAATTCGATTTCAAGTCCTTTGAATGCTACGGCTAAGTCCCACGTACATTGGGTAGTTGATGAGAACATGATGAATTGAATGTATTTAAACCAGTTCTTTGCAGTGGCCAGGGGTTCTCAGCTTGATCGTGGGAGGCAAATGGGTCAATGACCCTAGCACTTATGGCAGGTGTTTCTTTTTGAATACTGTAAGTTGTATAGATATTTGCTAGGGTTGTCGAGCACAACCCTGCAACCCTACACTTGCACCATCAACCCGCGCAAAGCGCGGCAGCTTGGCGAGATCCATGTCCTTCCACTCAGCCCCAAGTGTTGGACGGAGTGGATTTCTGTCAACGTCCGCAATTTTAGGACCAAAGTCACGTCTTAAGTTAGGTCGAACACCAAACGATGGAAAAGGATTGGTACCAGAGCTTGGCCCTCATCCGTTGATCACGACCTGAAACTCCTGCAGCCTTCGATCACGAGGTCTTTGAAGCTGGAGCCGCTGTTGGCGCTCTTCTGCCGGGCAGTCGTTGATGCGACCTGCCTCACGCTGGTGACCATGATTTTAACCTGTGAATTGGAGAAGGAGGAGAAACATTACCATCGGGACGACACCCAGTGGATGATTCCATGTCAATCCACTGAGCAGCTGGCCATGCTTGGGGTGATCGCTTTTTGGTGTCTTTGGACCAATTGGATCATCACGGCCATTTCGGACTTTGAGCCCTGGATCTTGAGATCAAGTTGTGATGGTTTTAGAGAGCTTTTGTGTTGGGGAAGGATGTAACATTTGCCTTTCAGATGCTTAAGAACAGCGTATGTCTACTGTGCTTTATGCGTTTTATGATAGTTTATGTATGTCATAGGCTCAAGCACACAGTAACACGCACATGCTTGTTGGATATCAATTGGAATCAGAGGGAATTAAAAGGGAAAACATAAACCAGAAGGATTTTACAATGGAGGGAATCAAGCAGAGTTTAAACGGAATTTGATAATCAATTAGGCATTTTAACAGGGAATGAACAAAACGAACAAAGAAAACCATGCACATTATTCCACGGGGTGCTATTACTAAAGCCCAAAAGGGCAAACATGATTGTAGGAGGTCATATTATGCTAGGTTTCTATATAGTGTGCCGTGCTGCGCTACCTCCTTTGGGAATCTTTAGGAAATTGATTTTTGCAATTATTTGAGACGTTTAATGGGTTCAAACGAAATTACGCAAGGAGTTTAAAGATAAATCTAAACAAATTATATAAAGGGAATGCAAAAGGGACTCAACAGGAACTCAAAGGAATTCAACAGGAACTCAAAAGGAATCAAACGAAATTTTGAAAGGAACGCAATTAGAAGCAACAGTAAATTAACAGGAAATCACATGGAACCACACGTAATTTGCAGGATACCCTTAGACATCCAAAAAAGAATGTAAAAGGGAATACGCATAATAAATCTAAAAGAACACCACTTGGAATCAAAAGGAATTCAATGGAAATCACTTGACATCAGCAGGCTCTTTTACAAGGGAATCAGCAAGCATCAAAAGGAATCCGGAAGGAGATTCAAAGGACATCAATAGGAAAATAGGGATAGGGATATAGCAATTTAACCTGCAGACTTCCAAGACTTAGGCTTGAGGTCAGATTCCTAACCTGGGGCTAGAGCTCTCCATGGAGTGCAAGTCTGTGCGTGCCCAGCCTGACACCCAACAAGTTCAAAGATCAAAGAAGAAAGCAAGTTTCAAGGAGTCTTTCGGGGGGTGGCCTTCCAAGAATATCAGAAAAGCAAAACACGTTGGAAAAATACAAAAAACAAAAAACAAACGAAACAACATTCCAAGAAGTTTTGTTGGGGGGATTGGCAGCAGAGAGTCTCAGAATACAATGCCAACACCGGATTAATCTTCAAGGTCAACAAGGTCCGAGATTGGAGGTATTGGAGGACCACATCTCCCTCATAAAGTTGATGACCTGATGATGGATGATGAGATGAGGACCTGGACCTGATGATGGATGATGGTTGATGGGATTGTGTGGGAATCATGAGAGTTTGAACCATGAGAACAATGAGGGCCCTGAGTGTATTGGACAAGGGTGGACCAGAAGATATTTGATATTAGCAAAAACGACAGTAAATAATAAGGAATTATAAATACATAGTAGACTATTTTTGTTTTTCTGGGGCAGCTGGGGTTGATTAATAGGGAGAGGTTTCTGCCCAGGAAAAAATATTAGGGGGATGTCAAGGTGGAAATCTATGTACTAAGTTAGTTTAGTATTGGGGGGGTCGAGCTGGGATTGATCAATAGGGGGTGGTTACTTAATCCTGTGTGCGGATTTTTCTTTTCGAGCATTTTGTTTTTTTCATATAGTGCCCGTTTCATTTTGTTTGAATTGTTTTTTTTGTGGGTTGCTTTGTTTTCCAATGGAAGGTAGGCACCAGGTGATGCCAGGTTTGCATTTTCTGATGCACTTTACATATTTTTGAAGTGGGCAGCAGATGCAAGTGATGAAACATATGGGGTTTTGGCACATGGACATGCAAAACATATTGTAATTTATATACTGTACATTGTTTCATTCATAAAGGACATTGACATGCCTAGGGGCACCCCTTCTGTTGTTTTTGCTACTGGTGTATTTCGCGACTCCAACAAATCGGGCCATTTTGGGGGCAGGGGAGCAAGCAAATCACGTTTAATGCTGCAGGCGACGACTTGTGAGTCTCATCGCCGGTTTTGGGGCCAAATTAATTGTGTTCGTAACACTTTGATCTTCCCGTGGGCAAGAGAGTTGTTGTGTTGTTTTGTCCACATTCTTTAGCTTCGATGTTTAGACGCACTAACATCATAAGAGTATATACTAGCTTGAAAGTCCTACCCTTCCCAATAGCATATGTTGTACAAGTGACTCAATCCACCAAGAATGATGCACGTGTGGAGCCTGCCATGTTAAAGATCATAGGAACCCAGTGCACTTACGGTCGAAACATACACAAATGACATCACAGGAATCATCCCAGTCAATCCAACCGTTCACACCTTGTGCCACATGTCCAAAGCTCCAGGGCTCCCTAACAACGCCGGCACCTTGCTTTAACATGCTCTAGCCACTGCAAATAAGTGGAACGTGCCGAGATGACTTAATCATACGGAATGGTCATCACCATGGGGACGGCCTGTTTGTGGCGTTCCGGCGCCGGCGCGTCGCCCAACCCGGGCAAGTTTCTCGGACGAGGTCATCATGTACACCACGGAGCTTTGGGTCTTTGCTGGGGGTCTAACCCCTCGCGGTGGACATGTCCCTTTGTGTTGTTTGCTGCGTGCTTACTGCACCTGCTTTCGATACCATTTGGGTAGCATGGTCGTCGGGGGCCTGGTGGTCGGCGTCGCGCAGCCGTTCCGAATCACCTTTGGCGTGGTGGCCTTCATCGTGGAATTTGAACGGAACTCCAGTGGGATTCTAAGCTGCCTTTGCGATTGCTGCGTGTCTGCCTACTTCACCCATTTGGAACCTTACTGCCGCAATGCCTACATGGACCTGGCGCTGAACGCACGCTGCTTTCAGGAGTCAGCCTGGCATGCATCCATGGTCAATGCGGAATTCATGGCCACGGCCACTTGGCAATTCAACACTTTGTGCTACTGCCGTGAACTACACACAGTTCCCGTCCACATCATTCCACGTCCACCAAAGACTCAGATACGTCTTGCTTGCGCCAGAACCCTGCAATGCAGGGGGAGGCCGTTTTTTGGAGCGGGGGAGACGTGATGAGATGGGAACGCACGACTTTCGATCTTCGCAGGTGAACATTCTCAACGGTGCGACGTGGATTTTCCAGTTGGCAGGCCTTGGAGCTATCACCTCCCTCGGGAACTTTCAGATTTGGACCATCCTCCGATGTTATCCTGGCTTCCAAGATCCTTACAGCCCGGACTTTGTTCAGAGCCCTGGCTCATGTGACCATGTTCGTTGAAGTGTCATGTGCAAGTTCGGTAGAAACGGTTTTAATAGTCCGGGATAGCGGTGCAGGGGCAGATTTCGATTTGATGGCGATAGGAGAGAGAGAGAGAGAGAGACAAGACACAAAGAGGGAACTGTACAGGGTTGCGCAGATCCGATCAGCTTTTGTTGGATTTAGAAGACATGGACGATTGACGATTGGCTAATGCTTACTGAATGTTCCATGGTTAGTGCCGACTCGTGTGGGTGCAAGCGGCGCAATCCTGACACTAGCGGGGGATTTTCTCGGCAACGTACCGGGGGCAGTGCATGAGACGTGTCAACCTGGGCAGATGATGGCTCGCCAAGTCGCAAGAACTGAGTCGAACATTTTTGGGAACACCTGGCCGACTGGGAGTCTGGGAGAATCTTTCAAGGAGGGTCATGGTTTTGCATGGTTTTGCCCTAACTCTCATGGAAATGTGGCCGAGCATCCATGAACCTTCAGGCATGGAGGGCTCAATAAAGAGAACTCGAAGTGTGGCCACAGCTTGTTGCCACCAGAAGGGTGGCCGCTGAGTCTTTCTTTTGTTTGGAAAGAGTGCTGACTCCAGAGAAATCGAAGGGAAATTCAGTCGTACTTAGAAGATCTTAGAAGCATCCAGGTTTGGGAGCAGCTCAGAGCGTCAGTTTGACGTTTGAACTATGAAGTGGCCATGAATAGAAGACATCTATAGTCGTAACCTCGCTCCCTCCACTGGTCCTCAGACCTGTCACGGACCTCAGGAATCCCCTCTTCTTGGCCTGTTTGGGCTCTGTCGTCTCATTCGTGATGGCCTTCCCGTTCATGATGATCTTCGATACAGTTTCAGACACTATCCTTTTCGTGCCTGGAAGCGCATCACTGCATGGCTTCTTTCTTTGGCACACCACCCATGTTAGGCTTCTCAAGGTGTTTGGGGGGAGGCTGTTTGGGCAGGTATCCATCCCAAAAAGTGGACATGGAATGTCATGAACATCGTAAGGTTTTTCTGCTTCACGTTTGACCTGGATTCATTTTTGAGAAGGGCAGTTTCACCTCAATCACTCCACACTGGAAGATTGCATTAGGCCTATATTGTGCAAAAGCTCAGGGAGGAGAAGGATGAAGTGCCGACCATTTATTCCAGAGCTTGTGGTTTCGTCGAGACCGTGGATGATTTCATTGGCCTGGGTTGCCTGGATCGAAGAAAGAAGGACGGCCTTTTTCGGCACAAGCGGTTTGGAGCGTCGGTCAGACAGCGGTGTGAGTGAATTCAGGGGGCCCAGGGGGCTGAAACAAGCATCGCAGAAGTTCATGCGATTTTGAGGGCTGTGCAAAGCCACCAAAAGGAGCGGACCCCAGTTTTTTGCTATCTTTGAGCCGGATGGATGGTCATGATCCAGCACTCGACAGGTATACCAGACCATGATGCAAACGGCACTTTGCCGCCCATGATTGAGTATACCCAGACACTCCATGTAAGCCATGTATGCCTACATTGACGTGGTTTTGGGGATACATGGAGTGTCTGGGATTTAGAAGAGTTTCCATGGACAAGAGTACAAAGGAGTCGTTCGCGTGCAGTCTTTCCATCGCCCGGTGGAGGACTACTCCATGCCGACCTTCAATGTCTTGGACGAGCTGGATGAAGAAGCTGGAGCTGGAGGGGCCAAGTTCGATCCGGGTCTGTGAGAGGTGCCGTTATCTTGTGCCGTTGATGTGGCGTGGCACTTGTTACTACTAGCTTCTTGTTACTACTAGTAAGGCACCTGTTACTACTAGCGTGGCACTTGTTACCGTTCTTTTTTTCTCTCGAGGTGGGTCAGTGAACGGTTTTCAGACCCAACAAACACCAAAGCGTCAGCGGTCTGACGGACCGAGTCGCTGGCAACTCCACGTCCGATCCCACCGGGTTTCTCACCGGAAAACGGCGGTGAGATCCCACCGTCGTCTCCGCTCGGAGTGGATCGGTTAGCTTGGCAGGGCCGGGTCACACGACCCGGCCGTTTCTCAGCTGCCAAAAGGGCGGTGCGGTTTGCGATGGCGCGTGCGGGAGCTTCGAACGGACTTGGTGACACCGGCCGAACTCGCCGCGGATCCATGGTGTCACCATTGAATCATCTAGCAATATGGCCTGAATCATCCAGAATCGTCCAAGAGTTCTTTCAGCAGGCCAAAGTGAAGCATAGACTCACGGAAAGAAGACCAAGCAGTTGCTGTGGGCAGGCTTTTGGATCAGCTGGGTGCAAAACACCAGGGCACAAACCACTCGCTCAAACAACGGAAACACACAGCAGCAAGTTCCGAACTCAACGGCAAATCTTAGTGCCCTAGCCCTAGTCCTGCCCCTCCAATCCATGAGAGAGTGAGAATTTACCTTGAGCTCATGAATCCCCAAATTAGCAGGGTAAGAAGAAAGCTACATTTCATTTGTATGGTGGCCCGGCAGCTTCAAAGCCAACAGCTATGCCATATGCTCCATCATCAAAAGGCGGCAGCCATCTTTGAGCAAAGAGCACAACCTCACAGCTTCAGCTTTAGCTATGACATGCTTTTTCACAGCATTCGGCCGGGCATAGCCGGGCCACCATGGGCCACCAGAAGTCAGGCTTCATGCGCCTGTGCAGAGCCGCCTGAGCCTGAGCCATGTCATCCAGGACGGTTGGAACAACACCGATCGAGGCAGCCCAAAGCATTCAAAGCGATGAGGAGCCGACCGTGACGCGAGGTTTTCTCCATTCCCGGGAAGCCCAGAGCCGTGGACGCGGACAATGGATGAACTACAAACTGGGCTTATCCCATCTTTCCCAGAGTCTGATCGGAGTCGACTCCTCCCTAGATCTATAGACATGTCAATTCAATGTGTAGTTAATTTGGGAGCTTTCAGGTCATGTCGCTTACTTTGGGAGCTTGGTGACACCATGCAATCTGGGCGCTTCCGATGACCGATTGCGATGGCCGAGACCGGGGTTCTGTCCGAACTGACCAAAGACGTCCTAACTGTCCGGAAGGATGAGGGATGAAGAGGGACTAATGGGAAAAACCCACCGGGGGGGACATCCATCGACATCACCGAACATGGGCCATCTCTGGCCGATTTTTCCGGCTCGCATCAGGAGTGGGACATGGATTTGGTGGATTCCTTCAGTTCCGAGGAGCACGACGGCAGGGTCGCCACACTGAGCGGGGAGGAGGAAGTGGAGGTCATTGTGAAGAACATCCGGGATCCGCAAGATTTGTGTGCCATTCCCTCCAATGTGCAGAGGTGGCTTTTTGGGGCTCGGTTTTTCGAAAGCTTTGTGAGGTTGATGACTGGGTGTTTGTTTGGGTTGCAGTTAGCCAGGGTGTGCAAATGAAAGGAAGAAAATAGATGGACATCCATTTGTGGTGGTGCCTTTGTGAAAAATAGAGTCATTATTCTTTTGTTGTATCACAATGTATCACACACACACACACACAATCGTACTTCTCCCATGCGGACCGTGCGGACAGATGAATGCGCCAGGCATTGTACAGACATTGGTGGGCTGGTGATATATTTTGCCTTTTCAGCTCTAGTGGTCTACATTACTGTTTGGGTTTGGCCTCGAGGGAGGCCCGGTGCATTGTTGAGACTGCCAGACTGGCAAGGGGAGCATTGTGGCCTCGGAAACCTGGACGGAGCATTTTAAGGCATTTTTTGTTCTCAAACTTTCAGGTATGTACTGTTATATATCATATATGTAGTACTAGATGTTCTTTTTTTTGTGGTATTTTGTTACTTTTTTTCTGATGGTTTTTGTTTTGCTTAGAACCGGCGAAGCGCTTCCGCAGAGTTCTTCCAGACAGCTTGAGCAAATCCAAGGATACAATCACGAGAAGCCACTCTTGTTTTTCTGTCCGCGCTGGCAAAATCCCAAGCACCTCCAGATCTGGTATCCAGTTTGTGTGCAGAGTTGCCCAGAGGAAGGTGAAGATCTGGTTTGCCCCATGAATCTCAAACACACGACGACCACCACCACCACCACCACCACCACTACAGCCAGTGAGGACTTCTATCATCCCATTCAAAGCTCCATGAATGGTGGATTGCCTTACCCGCCTTATCCAATGAATGGAGCCTATTCTCAATATCCACCACAACAATCCTATGAGTATCCCTTCTACCGCCAGCAGCCCGCCTACCCTCCCATGATCTATCCTCCTCAAGGCTGGGGGGGTCGTTTGCTTTTTGAACATTCCCTCACCATGTTCGTCGCTTGCAATAACCGTGTGGAATCCCCAGGCAGCACACCAATTGGCCTCCATGGATCTCCATGGTCTCATGGTCAAACACAACAGACCATGGACATGGGTTGTGGAGCTGCCTTCGGGATGTTGTTTTGTCCATCCAATGCCGCTGGGGTCCATCCGTGTTGGTCAGATGTCACGCTTCAATGGGAATCAGATCTGACCCCGACTTCTGACTTCCTCCCGCGCGGCGGAGGAACCTAAGCTCGAAAGAATGCCACAAACTGAACATCACCAACAGATTGCCTAAGTTCCGACTACGTCCGACCACGGTGGTTGGGAGCCACGGTGAAATCTGGCCCCGGTACCTGAAGCTGAGGATGTGCTGGGAGCCCGTACCTTAGGGAACATCAAATAGCAGATCTCAGTGAAGCAACCCACAAAAAGAAGAGACCCCCTTTATGAATGGTCTTTAACCGCAGCCACCCGTGGTACAGACGGGAGGCCCTGAAGGGCACGAGTTGAGCTACGACCTACCCCCTGGTGCCGCGGCAGATCCTTGGCGCCCTGGCACGGTTGACGTTGCTACGGTGGTTTTGTGCCGGCTCTGCCCAGGAGGGGCTCACGAGTCTCTTCCAGGAAGCTCCCCCCCACCAGGTGGGCTCACGAGTCGCTTCCTTGAAGAAGCGCTCACACCATTGATGTGGTTCCTGTTTGGATGGTGCATGCATGTGCATCCTGGTGCATCGGGTTCCCAGATACATTCAAGATGATTCCCAAACGTCGATTTGATGTCTGGTGCCCTACACATGTTCATAGAGGGCCTGTTAGTCCAATGACCAGGACTGGACCATGCGAACATCGGTGCTTCCCTCCCAACGGCACACGGCCATGCCATTTCACGTTGGAGGAACACTTAGAACCGTGTGTCGTTGATCATATGCCTGAGACGCACGGTAATTCACGCTGATTGGTGTGAGGCCACTGTAGACGCATCTCGTCAATTCTCATACTAGCATGTCGAGCAATGTTGTGTTATATACCCCCAGACTCCCCCCCGTCAGACCTATATAGAGCACAACAACACGAAGAGCACAAGATAGAGCACAGGGCTGGCCCCTCCGGTTCGGGCATAGGTATCAAAATAAAAATAAAAAGAGCATAAAAAAATAAATAAAAACAGGATCAAAAAAAAAAGCGAATCAAAAAATAAATATTCCTTGATAGGCCTCTTCTGCTGCTCTCTTGGCCTTGTGGTCTGCGGGTCCTCTGGTAATGTGGTCCCTTGGTCCTTTGGTCCCTTGGTCCTCTGGTCCACTGGTCCTTTGGTCCCCTGGTCCCTTGGTCCTTCAGTCCACTGGTCCCCTAGTCCTCCGGTCTCCTGGTCCTCTGGTCCTGTGGTCCGCTGGTCCCCTGGTATCCTAGTCCTTCTGTCTCCTGGTCCGCTGGTCTTTTGCTCTCCTACGGCGCTCGTCTGTCGATCTCCTGGTCCCCTGCTTGCGCAAATAGAGGCTTGATTGCTTTCTACTAGAGGCAGCTCCCTGGGAAGAAAGTAGGTACCCAACGATAAGGTTGCCGTCCAGTCATTGAGTAGCCCTACTCGAAAAATGGTTCACCAGTAGAAATAGCTCCCTACTAGGAGGGGCAGTGGGCTAGAATATTTTTTGAGTTTTATTTTTTTGTTGATCCCCGTTGAATATTTGTTTGTTGATTCTTTTTATTATTATTTTTTTTTGATCCCTTACCCGTTTGGTCCTTTCAAAGTGGATCCGCTGAGGCATTCGTCGCCCGGACTGCCCAGCTGGCCGGCAGGGCGACAACTGGCGAGTGGAGAGACGATCATCTTCAGCGATTGGAGAGGCAACTTCACCCTTTACAGGACCTGATGGGTGCTTTTTCGCATCCATTCCGGAAAAACAAACAGTGGCCTTATAGGTGAAGAGCGCCATTTTCTGTGCTGAGGTTCTTGGTTAGGTGGCCCCAAATCAATGGATAGGTGAATGATGGTGAATGCATGTGAATGCCGAATGCCCCTTGCAATCTTCAGACCTTTTGAAGCTATCTATAGATTAAGTTCAGCCCAGTTTGCTTTCAAAGTCCCACCATGTGCAAGACTGCAAGCGGGGGCTGCACTGATCTCACTGTCGGTTGCTGATTGACCCCCAACCCTGAGGACGAAATCGTATCCATCAGTCGCTCAGCGTGCAGTCCTGGCGGTCCCGCCATGTTCTGTTCCTTCATGTCTGCACCAGACATGGACGCCGCTGGTTCTTTTTTCTCCGGCGACGTCCCAAAAAGATGCCCCTCTGATTTTCGTTGATCATGTGGATCTCTCCTCCTGCTCAACCCCAACAAAAAGGACCTGAGAAAAGGCACGAGAAAAAGACTCTGAGACTTATTCAATTTGTCATTTTCTTCGGTGCTGTTGATCTCGCAAGGCTGCCTTTGTTGATATGGTGTGCAAGCCGTGGGACAAGCACTTGGAACAGCAAGTGCAGAAATGGATAGACCAAACTCCATTGGTGAATACCTGGGCTACATTGATCAATTCTTATTGGCCCTTGTTGGTGACGGCTGGCACTGGGATTGTGATGAGCTATGTTTACATCACTCTCCTGCGCTTTCGAGCAGAGATGCTGGTGCAAACGGGCATGATCATCTTGGTGCTGGTGCCACTGGCCACGGGTGTCTACTTCCTTTGGTGTTGGAAGAGCCACGGTCAGTGCTGGGGAAGCACCGGTGATAGGCCGCGGGGGCGCTGCGCAGGGGTGCGCTGAGCAGGGGTGCGCAGCCTAGTCCGGCCTTCTTCCTCCGCTCAGCACAAGAAGACTCATGTCATATCTGCATACTCTTAACTTAGCTGTTGCATGAGTGAATTCTCCTTGACAAGGCTGATGTGATTAATGGGCGTTTAACCCTAGTGGTTGCCAGGTTTTCCGCTTTACAGTTTCCTGATTCCAGCAGTGGATAAAGCTAATCGGTCAATTGAACAGGTCATGCTCTATCTTGGAAGTGGTCCAGTTGTTTTTTTGGACCAATGTAATGGAACCCAGAACCACTTCCACGTTTGCCCAACCCGCCTGTGGAGGCTCTCAGATGGACTGACGGCGCTGGGCGGGGTCCTCGTGGGACTCACCTTCATGAGCATCTCCTGGCATTTGGAGACACTTGGGCTGGTCCAGGCAACAGGCAAGTGAGTCTCGTACTCTTCCCCCACCAAGAAACCAAACACAGGCCACACAAAAACACACTGTGCTTTTTCTATAGCTTAGTCTGGGACCTCCGCCGGCCCCAGACTTGAGGCAAGACATTGACCTGGCCATTGATTGCATCGAATGGTCCTGCAAGGCAGTGCTGGAGACTCCTTCGCTGAAGTTCCTTGTTCCAACCTTCAGCTGGGGGACGTTTTTTTTCCCCAACTGCCTAGTTTTACTCGGCAGTCCGAGCAGTCCCGGTGTCCAACACGGAAAACACATGGCGATGGTTCTTCAGGCGGATGAAGGGGCACCCTGCGTCTCTTGACTCTTTCACCCTGCGGAGTTTCTCAAGCTAAACGAGGCGTTTGGGGCGCCTGACACACGAGGTTAGAGCCCTTGCTGGCACTCGCTTTTCGCTGCCTGGTGGATCTCTTTGCTGCCAGCGTGGTCGCGCTGATCCTCACCTCCGACCTGGAGAGCTCGCCCGGTCCAGCCGACGCGGTGGGGTTCGTTCATCCATACCAAGCGTGGTTGTTACAAGGGGCCGGCCTCATGGGCATCGGCGGGTGGGGGGGGCATGGGCAAATGTATGCCTCCAACTGCACACCCGTTGAGCTGCCAGCCCGTGACTAACTTTCAGAGATTTCGTTACATACGCGTGATCGCGAATTACACACATTTACGAACTTTCGGACAAGTTTTGCGGGTGACGAGCGCCGAGCGCACTCATTAATTTTGATAAGCTCAGATGGGGGAGCCATACCCACGGGTCAATCCCGAATCCGTAGTGAGATCAACTGGCGAAGTCACTCTTAGGCGACTGGTTGTGAGCAAAAAACTTCCACCACTGGGTTTGGATAGCCCACCCCATATATACATATACATACCAGTGTACCATATGCAATTCCTTTTGTGGGATGGAAGGGTCTTGACGCGACCTGGGAGTGAACTGCCTTTTGCGTCACGAAACGTCTTGTCTTTGGAATTCTATGGCATTGGTTCTCGGGTTCTATGCTGACCTCCACTTCACAGCCCAAAACAGGCCCCGACACCGGCGCCCAGACCGAACCCCAGACCGAATTGGGTCAGAGTCCAAATCGGAGGAATACCATGTACTTCAAGTTCCATTGGCTTTCACGGGTGGAAAACGACCTGTTCCATGTGACCTGTAGCGGAAGCCTCACCTGTTCCATGCACGACCCGACCCGTTTCCCCCGCGATGTTGGCGGCTTTTTGTCGAGTGACCAGACGTCCAGAGGAGAACGACGAGGTCCGCCACCGGGAATATCGCTGGATCATCCCGCCTCAGTCCCTGCTGCAGATCGGCCAGATGCTCACCATCGGCTTCTCAGGGGCACAAGTTAGAGCCGAAAAGGGTGCCATTTGTGTTTTTGTCCAGCATCATGGCATGTTCAACTATGTATTTTACGATGTTTTTAAACTAAGCTTTACTGCTTCAAACCGTTTTAAAACCCTCCAAGATGGACACATATATAGTTATTATGGACACAACCCTGTTGCTTTTGTAGCGGTTTATTGTGTGATCCCATGACCCATATGTGTGCGGCGAACTGCGCCCGTTTGGCATCCTCCTTAAGTGTGTTTTCAGAAAGCATTTGGCAGCCATATTTTTTCCTCTTAGGCACGCCATAGGCTTTCGCCCGGCATTTGGCCATATAACATTTCTCGGCTGGCTCGGCTGGCACAGCCTGCCCCCCTTGAATCAATCAAGAAAGTGACACCAGGACCGTTGACCAAGTAAGGCTTTTGGTGCTTGTGGACGAACTGGATCATTACGGCCATCTCTGATTTTGTCACTTGGACATGACATGGCAGTCAAAGACGGCGTGTGATCAGCAAAGGTTTGGCATCCATTGAACAGGCATAGGTGTAGGTTTCCCACTGTTTTTTTCTTGAATTATTTTACTCGTGTTTTTAGGACACGTCAGACGAGCGGAATCAAAGCGATGCGATTCGCATGAGCTGTCACTGACCCACCATGTGACCACGTGACCACCGAGATGATTCAGAGAAGGTTAGATCCTGCATGGGTATGGTTCAAGCATTTGGAAGATATCACTTATCACCAAAAAGTAACAGTAACACAAACCCGTTTTGGATGGTTTGGGCACATAATCTTTTTGGTCAAGTGACACGGATTCCTTAAGGCCCAAAAGAAAAACGCAATGAATCACACAACTCTATCTTGGCAGGAACATGGTCAGTCTTCCAGCACTGCAGCAGGCTGTTGCCTTAGCAGAAGGACCCCAAACTCACAAATAACAACACTCTTTTTTGTTGTGGTACCCTTTGCTCCTTCTTGAAGAGATGGTTAATTCGGGGGCAGCTGGGCGCTGGGATTCCCAAGTAAAAGAACAAGAAGAAGCAGCCCAAAAGACTTGTCTCTGGAATCATGGGCTGTTGGTTCAGCCACGTTCAACCCAACTTAAAACATACCTCCCCTCCAGCCCTTCAAGGACTGCTTTCCTCTAGAGGGGCCTGCTCAGCTTTGATAATTTGAGACTGGCTGTTGAGGTGATCATGTACACAACGGAGCTCTGGGCATTCACTGGTGGCCTCACCAAAAGAGGCCACGCACCCTGCTGCTCCATCTTGCGCGGCTATTTCGCATGTCTCAGAGACCTGTACATAGGTGATTCGCATTGGTTTGTTGTGGAGTTTCCCCTTTTCCCCTCAGTTTTTGTTTTTAATGAAGCCTTTGCACACCATTGTAGTTTCGGATCATTTCCCGGTTCCTTTTCAAGGATTTTGGATCTGCAGGGCGCTTCTGCCAGTCCACGTTCTATGAGGATGCTAATTTGTTGTCATGTAACTTTACCCGGAAGCAGGTGACCATAGGTGACCCTTCAAGAGAACAGCGGTTCTGCTGGGGTCTAACCTTCCTTCCGAAGCACGTTCTTTTTCCCACCTCGTCGAGGAAAGTCCCAGCCAAACCCAGGATATCACTTTGGCACCATGGTCGTGGGTGGATTGGTGGTGGGCGCTGCTCAGCCCTTTCGGCTCTTCTTTGCTGTGTTGAGTACGCTGATCAAGTTTGACCGGAGAGCCGTTGGAATCATCAGCCTGTTTTGTGACTGTGTCGTGCAGGTGGGGCGGGGAGTCGGCGAGGCGGCGAGTCGGCACGTGGAGCGCATGGGTTTCGGGTGCGCGTTTCGGGTGCGCGAATGATCAGCAGAAGGCAGAGGAATTCCCTAGCATCCAGTTTTTTCGAGTCTCCAAATTATAGTAGAACATAGGAACCGGAACCAGAAATGGGACAGCCTTGGCAGGTCTACATGGACTATTTGGAGCCCTGGTGCCGCAATGCGTACATGGATGTGGCACTGAACTCTTACTCCTTTGTTCAATCAGCACTGCACGTCTCATGGGTCAACAACGGGGATTTCGTTGACACGGTCCATGTCTTGAATGGTGCCACCTGGCTTTTTCAGCTGGCAGGTTTGGGAGCGATCACTTCGTTGGGCCACTTGCAGGTTTGTGTCTTGACTTTGGCAGAAAGAACGCGTTGTTGGTTGCCGGATGAATCCGGGAATGTTTGGGTGTTTTGGTGTGTTTGGAACGGGCAAGACCGCTCGGTTCCTTTGGTGGCTTGTTTTGAGTGATTTTTGTTTAATGGCTGTCCCAGTTGATTGGCGAGGGCAATCCAGGAGGGCTGACCAACCACCAACCAGGTGTGATTCTCAAATACTATCCTGGCTTTGAAGATCCCTATAGCCCGGCCTATGTGCAAAACCCGTTCTTGCTGTCGATCTGTGGCTCTGCAGTTGCTTTCATCACAGCCTTTCCATTTATGATGATTTTTGACACGGTGTCTGACACCATCCTCTATGTGTATCTAGTGCAGAAGATGCGAGAGGAGAGGGAGGAAACACCCACCATCTACACCAAAGCCTGGAGCTTGGCCGAATTTGTGGATGACTTTATCGGATTGCATTGCTTGGACCATGATAAGAAGGAGCGAAACTCTAGACGCTTGTGGGTGAATGAAACGCGTCCGTGACCCTTTCCGACATTGGCGCGCACCATAGAAGTATGATCCGTGCAAATTTGCAGGTGCTTTACAAGCAAGTTTTTGGGCTGTGGCCATGACCGGAAAGAGATTAGAGGATTTGTATCATTTTCTTGCCCCACCTGGACGGCCAAACAAAGTATATAACTTCGTTTTATATAAGTTGGTTTGAGAGACGTCCGGAACTGGTTTTTAAGGATGGAACTTGCAGAATAGTTCGAACACCTGTAGATGCCACAGAACGACTCGATATCCGAAAGAGCCAGGTCAACACCTACTACTGCCGAACAGACTTTTGATGCAGGGTGCTGCACATGACACTACTGCTCATCGGCGGCCCGGAGCCGCAAAGTAAGTCTGTAAGATTCTGCCAATCCAATCGATTTGGAAGACCATCAGATTCAACAGGGAACTGACATCCATCCCACCCGGAGTCGGGGTGGTGATAGTCGGAGTTCCAATCGATTTGGAAGATAGTCCTCTACAAACCATGGGTGATGTCGATGGCGAGCCGAGCACCCGCTTACAGGAAATCCATGCTGTCGTTGATGGTGTACAGGGCAGCTGCACAACCGTCACATGGGAAGGATAGTTCACTCTTTGGCGGACCCCATCAACATGTCTGTGGGACATGTATCTCATGTTTTTGGCATCTCATTTTCATCTGCTCCATGTCGCCGCCAGTACACTGGCTACGATCTGATTTGGATCATGTCGGATTCTCCTTTTGCCCCTCCAGGACTATTCCATGCCGACCTTCTTGGACGATGTCGAGGAGCGGCGAAAGCAACGGCTTGAAGAGCGCCAAGGGCGAAATCGCTCGACCGCATCAAGCTGAGAGAGGAGAGGAGAGGGGTGACAGGAAACCTCCTAACTTTGAATGCCAGGAAGCTTTCTGTTTTGATAACGGCCCAACGTGGCCTTCGGTGGAGGAAGTTCAACAAAGATTGATGAACAAACCTGCGGCAACATCTCTGCGCACATGATACAGAGAGATTCTGAGTTGTCGGCTGTTGGGCTTTCAATTCTTACTGTTTCCGTTTCTGCTTTGGGGGACGAACATCCCCCTGACTCGACTCTTCTCTTGATGGTCTTAATGCTGGGGGCGTGCACCAGTCCTAACCACGCATATCAGAAGATCAAATGGCATTAGAAAGTGCGAGCATCACAGCAGCTAGAGTACAAAGTACTTAGCATGTAAACATGTCACCAAATGTCTGGCTCAAGTGACAAGAAAAGGAGTGCGATTATGGTCAACCTACGTCGAGGAAGTCGCAAATAGTCGCAATGAAGTACCCGACTGGAGTTGTGAACCGCATGGTGGGGGACACTCATGAGCCTCGGAAAGCCAATCATTCTAGAACCGCAGGAGAGCACGAAATTGAAGGAGGAAGAGGCCGTAGATCAAGCCGAGAACAAGGGCTATGATGTCCCTGGACAAGAAGGAGTAAAAAGGGCTAGGTGAAGAAGGGGACGCGTTGCTACACAATGTAGAAAATTAATGATAATGATGCCAAGAGACAGCGTGAAGAAATGGAACACCAGCTGTATGCACCAACATCGGGTCCATGGCAAATTCCATCATGGACAGATACATTTTTACGATGACCAGTTCATTCTTCAACGCTTTACACAAAAGATGCTACAAGAACACAGTGGCACAGTTCAGAGAGAATCTCAAAACACAAGGGCGATACCTAGGGCAAGTTCACCGACAAGTTCCCTGCCACCGACGAAAATATGCCACAACAAAGGAGGAGTTCATGCGTGCAGCCAGAAAAGGGTAGAATATCGAAGGGACATGGCTCAATTTCGAGAAGGGCAACTCACTCTATAGGTTATCGATGGTTACCGCAAGGGGTTGATTGGGATCACACCTCCCCTGCTCGAGATTTCAAAAACCTTCATCAGCTGCATCTCAAGAAAATAGTTTCTGACAAGGAGAATGTCATCAGAGTGGATGTAGTGAAGAAAGCCATCAGGACAGCATATGGATGTGACACCTACTCGTACTCTGTCAAAGACAACGCAAACACGCACAAAATGCACTAACCCACTACATGTTCTCAGCCGACCTCAGGATGAATGGAACAGAGCGATCATTCTTATGCTGGCTGCTGCTGCTGCAGAATACGTATTCACCTAACAACTGAGCAATATTGAGCATTGGTTGCGCTTCCTAACACCATTCTAAGCTCAGAACGTGTTGTCGAATGATGCCTTCGGAAAGATTGCTTCCGGAGAAGTCCGAAGAAGCCAAGAAGAAGGCCGCTCCATCATCAAAGCAGCTTCGCCTCCTGCCAAGATGCCACCAATTCCACCACCACCAGGCCTGCCGATCCATCCAAGGCCATGTGGTCAGGACACCGAAGATCAAACGCACGTCTTCAGAAGTGACACACCACTCATGTTTTTGGCAGGTGAACCACCAAGTTTCCGATGGCGAACCATCAACCGAGGTCATAACTCAGGTGGTTTAAAGCTGATAGGCTCGCGGTTGGGCACATTGCATGATGATCACATTGAATTAGTTGATTATAGTTTTAACTACCACTCTAGACTATGATTCCTGTAGCGCTGGGGCTCATATTCATATGTTTTAATGATGTTTGTTTGATGATCTTTGTTTGGTGCGCTTCTTGATTCAATCGGGGCCCGTCTAGCTGCAATTTTGGCTCCCCGCGACGCGCCGCGGGATGCGCGGATGTCCAGAGAGGTGGCTCAACTGGAGGGTCATGAGGGCGAGGAGAGCTGGCCTGGGCGTGTGGGGAGCTGATCTTTTTCTCCTGGGTGGGATGGATTTGAAGATTGGAACCTTGCATAAACCAAAATTGTGGAGGTAAGATCAAGAGGTTGAGGTTTTGGTATCAACCAGCAGGGTAAGAATTTGCCCTTTTTCATCCTTTTTCAACGAAGCAAGGATTTGGCTGGGGAGACCGATCCGTTCTACCCCGTAGATCGCACCAGTTGGCCGGGTGTTGCAGCGATCATGCATGTGCCGCTTTTCCCTCGTCCCCGTTGGTCCGGATGAGCCGCTGGGCGCCGTGCTGGACTCACGCGAGCTCACCCTCGCCAGGAGTCCTCGGACACGGAGGGTTCCAGCGACCGGAACGAGCCTGATCCCAAGCCGGTGCAGCGCAGTGCGCCGAAGAGGAATCTCAAGGATCCGTTGGATCTCGGAGAGATCCCCTCCACGGTGCCCAGGTGAGGTGAGTCAGTGGGGGATCCATCCGCTGACGACGGATGACTTATAGCTGACTGAGTTTCTTTTTTAAATACATGCCAGGGGCCGGAGCTCGTGATTCAGTGATAGTTCAGATGGCATATTGAAGTGAAGCTGTGTGCATATGGATTTCAAGGGGAGCCAAACGAAGGGCAATCATTGTTTTCGCGGATGTTTTGATTAGCTTCAGTGACAGATCACGCATCGTTTTCAGCCTGGTAGGCACTGCACAGACCTAACTTGGTTATTGATGTACTTGATCTTCTCCACGGTGGCAGTGTACATTGCTGTTTGGGTTTGGCCACTTGGGCAGCCCACCGCTTTGCTGAAGTTGGCCGACTGGCAAGGGGTCCATTGCGGCCTGAGCCGGAACCGAGGGAAACCGCTGCTCTACTTCTGCCCGCGCCATGAGGGCTCGACGAATTTACAGATGTGGTATCCGATTTGTGTTTCGACCTGCCCTCAGGGCGAGAAGCTGCTGTGCCCCAAAAATCTCAGACACACAACAACCACCAGCACTACCACACAGCTGACGACCACCACAACAGAGGACTTCTATCACGCCATCCAAGACTCCAAGAATGGAGGCTTGCCTTACCCACCATATCCAATGACAGGTGCATACTCACAATATCCGCCGCGGCAGTCCTTCCAGTATCCCTACTATCGGCCCTCCTCGAACTATGCTCCGGTCATCTACCCGCGAGCTCACGCCTCTGGTCCGCCAGAGGACTGGGGAAGCCCCGAAATGAATTACGCCCTACCTCCAGCAGCGAAGTCAGAATATCCATGGCACCTTGGAATTGCAATAAGTCACGCTAAGTCAGGAGTCAGTCACGGCCTTTCCTTTCAGTATAAATGCCATGGAATCATGTGATTTGCCAGTTTCCAGGCTTGTCTTTGTGATTCTTGTTGAGATAGTTGTTTTCAGGCTTCCCAGGAAAGCTGATGACTCAAAAGCAGCTCGTGCACCTCATACACCTCATGCCGATGCAACTGCAGATGCTGATGCGAAGCGTTCCCTACCTCCAGGTGCTATGACCACAGATCCATGGCACCTTGCTCTCAATTACTTGAGTTAGCCGATTAGCCACCCACAGACGATCTTCCTGGAGGGTATTTTGGTCAATTCTCAGCTGTTTTGTTTTTTCCTGCCACGCCTGTCGTTGCTCGTTGGTCGTTGTCATTCTGACTTCGCTTCGCTTCTCCGCGATCAGTTCTCGGTTCGGTGGGCACGGGCAGACCACGCTGGGCACGGGCCAAAGAGATGGGGTTTTCGTTGATGATGAAAACGTGTGGTGAAATGGTTGAAAACTGATTCCTGGTGCTTCCGTCAGGCGGTCCAAAAGACAGACAGATAGACAGACCGAGGGAGGGAGGGAGGGAGGTACGGACGGAGGGAGGCAGGCGATTCGCAACCTTGCAACTTCCAATGCAGTACACCAATTGACTCTCATCCCCCAGCTCCCACCTGTCAGTCCCCTCCATCTGCTGAGTCCCACACCATCCCACACCCCAAGGTCGATGAGCCCGCGACGGCTGGGTCAGAGCGTGAACAACGACGTGGTGCACAGCGACTGGCGGGGCAACTTCACGCTTCACATCCTGAGCTCCTATCCCAGTGTAGCCTTGGCCTCCAACGACCATGGGTTTACATATGATTTATATAGCCTTTAGACCGAACAACCCTTGTTACACCATGTTACACCAAGGAGTTACACTGCAAAACCAGGTCACCCTTTCTTTTTTGTCAAGTTGGGTTGGCCTCGCGACAGCGGGCAACCGCACAAACTGAGCACTGGCCCGGACTGGCCCTGACGTCCGCTGGACGTTCATGTTCACCATTGGACTACTGTTCGTGATCATTGTCGTGATGCGTTGAGGGTTGGGACGAAACAATTTCTTTTAGGTTGGAGGCCATCGCTCTTGATTTTTCTGTTGATTTGGGTCCTCCGCATCGTCCGGAAAAGTGGCCTGAAAGGCGCCTGAAGTGGGAGAGAGGGTGCCTAAACTGGGCTTTGCCAGTGTCCCAGAAGACCTCCAAACTGGCAGAATTCAACATTGCATCTCTATGATCAATGATGTTTGTGAATGTTTGTGTATATCATCTACTTGATTCTACAATACCATCCTTGTTTTTGTAGCCCTAATAGCCTATAGTTTTCGACATGTCTCCATCATGTAGCGTAATGCAGATGCCTGAGGATTTCTTCGGTGTGTTCGTACGTCGAAACTCTTGTAGAGTCTTCTTTAATCTCGGCCCAGCTCTCCGAAGTGCTTCGAATGCTGGGGTGCCTCCCGCCCCGTGCACCCGCTATAGACTTCTTTCGAAAGAAACGAGCCGCTGGGCTGAGGCGCCTTTCGTGGACATGGTGTGCAAACCTTGGGTGACGGAGCTCGAAGAGCAAGTCCGGGACTGGATCGCTCCTCGGCCGCAGAGTCGGAGCGAACTCTCGTAGAACCAGTCCCTGTGGACATAGCAGGGGTACAGAGCGAAGTGAAAGGGAGGAGTTGGGGTGAAACATGGTGAATCTATATATAACTATTATATACATATTACATAGGTCGGTAATTGGGTCCATGCAGGTCCCAGAAATGTCCGATGCTTGAATGCACCGATTTTTGTTCCATCAATATCGCTTTTGGGTAGAACGCCAGCCCCAAAGATACCCTTGGCCCAAAGCTTGTTGACATCCCCGACTATTGATCGATTATGGCAGGGAAGGCAGAGTAAACAGCAAACAAACAACCGTATATGTAGTGCATTTTGGAGCTTGAGTGACCCATCAACATGTCGAACCTAGAAAATTCCTTGATTTTTCGGCTTGGACACCGGTTTGTAATGGATGAAGCCCCACCAAATTTGGGCGGCCGCAGGGCCGCAAGGGTTATCCCACCAAAACTCTCAGGATGAGACTCCATTGGTAAATACCTGGGCAACATTGATCAACTCGTATTGGCCATTACTGGTGGCAGCTGGCACTGGAGTGGTGATGAGCTATGTCTACATCACACTTCTGCGCTTCAGAGCTGCGATGCTCGTGCAGCTTGGGATGGTGATGCTCTTCCTGGGGCCGCTGACGACAGGCGACGATCAGAGTCGCATCGTCCGCATCGTCACTGCTTTCGGATTGGACCAAATCTGAAGCATCGAAAGGCTTAGGAGTTGCTCACACATCGCGACAGCACACACCGAGTGACTTGCGGCTTCAACTGACATATGTTCACACACACACACACGCAAAAAGGGGTTCCACACTTCTGGGGCCAGAATCTTCGATGGTTGAATGAAGTGATCGACAGGAATCCTTTGGGACCAACCTTCGCCAGGAAAGGTCACCAAGACTCCAGTGCCGAGATTCGTGCCAAACGAAGCAAAGAGCTCAAAGCAAACCACCATAGAACTATACAAGTATTGCACTAAGATGCACTAAGTGTTGTCGCAGCGCCGTGGAGAACATATTATTTATATAGAGAGCGGGTAGTCATGGGGGGTGGGGTTGTGAAAGTTGTGATTTTGTAAAGTTTTTATCTTTTTGCAGATGATATGACATTGATAGGGTTGTGAAAGCTGTTCTTTTGTAAGGTTTTGCTCTTTTTGGTGAATGATATCATATTGATAGGGTTGTGTGTGAAACTTGTGATTTTCCTGCTCTATGTGCAGTTGGTAAGCATATTTGTTCATTCAACTATGAACTACAAAAATGTTTGAATCCATAAGGCTAGGTGTTTACTAAATAGTTTTTGGATGTAGTAATCTAGTTCCACGCAGCCCCCATGCAAAATCATATTTCTTGCTTTTAGAGTGTGAATTGTATTGCTCTTATTGCATGCAGTTGGGTAAGTACATCAGAATCAGAAGGCAAGTAATTACAAACCCTAAAGAACCAAATTCTATTTTGATTCTTATTCAATTCAACTTCAAATTTATAGTTAAATTCAGGTTTAACTTTCAATTATGGTTTATATAATTCTACTTTGCTTCAAGTTTCCTTCACTATAGATTCTAGTTTATTTGGGATTCAATGCAAGCCAAATTTTAATTCGATTTCAAGCTACCTGGCTTTACTTTCATTGCTATACAATTCAGATTCAATTATAATAGTCTATTCTTGTTCAATTTAGATTTAAATTTTATGAAATTTTCAATTGGTCTTGCTATGAGTGATTTTTTATGAAGTTTTTCCAATATGGAAGTATTTGTTTTCTTTAATGAAATATATTCACACCCCCAGCAATACCCACTCTCTAGAATGGAAGCAAAACTCGTTTAGAATTCCATTTGCATTGAATTGGAATCAAACTAGAAAATTAGATGTGTAAAACAATTGAATCTGAGTTATATAAAGGCGTTGACATTACGAAAGCCAGCCTTCGCAGAAGGCGCCAGCTGAGTTGTGCTTGGCGAACGAAGTGAGTAGGTAGGGGGTCTGGGGGGGGTGGCCCGAGAAAGGTATACATACACTCGGCACATGCTGGGGGAGGAGGGTGCACGGATGGAAGGTTTTGGAGGTTGTTTTGGAGGTGATGTTTTGGTGATTTTGGCGCGGGTGCTGATGCAAGAAAATGCATTTTTTGCTTTTGCACCATTTGAATGTGGTTGGTTTCTCAAGGGATATCTAGCGGCTTGGGGAAAGGGAAATTGAACTGCTATACCATGCAACTGAATTGTAGTTACCTGGGGTCCGTATAAATGCTATTGTGCTATACTTCCGACACACCTATATAAGTTCAAAGCACTTAATGAGACTGGAGAGGGAACTTGAAGTGCAACATCACTGGGTCATTGGATATTCGATCGCAATCCGGTCTTTCTGTGTAAACTATCCTGTGTAAACTATCCTTTTGCTGGGCAAGAGGTTGCGACTCCTTACCTTGGGTCCGTATAAATGCTATTGTGCTATACTTCCGACACACCTATATAAGTTCAAAGCACTCATGAGACTGGAGAGGGAACTTGAAGTGCAACATCACTGAAGCATTGGATATTCGATCGCAATCCCGTCTTTCTGTGTAAACTATCCTGTGTAGACTTTCCTTTTGCTGAGCAAGAGATTGCGATTCCCTGAAAGAATCATGATGACTGTACATGGACAAGAGGCCCCTCCTAAAAATACCCATTTCCGCTACAACAAGGTCGATGTTTGGATGGAGTTTCAGTGTTTTTCCTATTTGCATGACCGTTTTCCGCTGCCCTGGGTCTGGCGCGCGCGTGCGCGCCCTCCTCTACGGTAGAGTGGGCGCCAACGCGCGCGCGGACCCAACATGTTACTGCAAGGAGGCGCCACCCCGACAGAGTTGACAAAATCGCTGTTCCTCACGCTGGGATACCCACGATGGTTCCGGGCAATGCCCTTCAGCATCCATATTTGAGCAACTGGTAAAATGTAAACAAGCAGCTGCGTGATGTGTTCCGTTTCTTGTGGCCTCGAGCAACTTATACAGATGGAAGCAGTACACATAGTGAAGACCCATAGGCTCATAGGAGACGTCTCAGCTTTCATGCAACTTCTGAAGTTTTCACTACTAACTCTTGGCTGCTTTGCATCCTTGTTTTCACCGAATTCGTGCCGCTCGTGACAAAATAACGCTGGCTTTCGTTTTGCAGCTTCTCAGGTTGCTGTCGTTTGAGCCAGGATTTTGATCGGGGGACGGAGTACATGTGCTTTGGTCTCGTTGGTTTGGTCACGGAGGCAGGCGCTTTGGCCAGAACGTTTACAGGATGGAGCAGGTGTAAAACACAACAATTATTTATAACCTGCGCATCCATGCGCCGAATATCAGATTGTTGCTGTTCACAAGTCATATCTATGATTGTAGAAAGGAATCGTGGGCAAACTGGACAGAAGGGATTGGCATGATGGTGATCTACCAACTTCTTGCCTGCAGAGTCAAAGTTTGTTTGCTTTTGCTTCCCACGTTGCGATTGGGTGAGTGAGTTGGGGGTTGGGATTGTCAAAGCAGGAAGCTCATAGACTCACGTTGGGATTGTCCAGGAGGATACGAGGATCGCTACCGGTGTGGCCGAGAAGTGTGCCAGCTCAGTTTGAACTGTTTGAAGCGGCCTGGTGTTGCTAGGGTTGGGGTCAGAGCATTGTAGATACCCTGGCAGATCGACAATGAATGCAGAACTCCTGCTGTGCTTCATCTCTGGTGTCAGCCAGGTTAGATCAACGTGAAACAAGCCTCGACGAAGCTGAATGCAAGGCTGGTGTTTTCTCTTCTTTGCTGTCACCTTGGTAGAAGAAGGGCAAATGGCATGGCAGTTCCGAGGATAAAGTCGGGCTGCCCCAGCTGTTGGAATTGCCAGGTATACCTTCACATTTACGACCTGCCAGGGCACCTGCCTGAGTTGCAAGAACCATTGTTGGATATTTTTGGCGAGTGCCGAGCTGGAGTATCAAGGCTTTGTGCGTGTGTGTAAGCTTTGGATCCAGAAGGTGTCTTATGGCTCTGACGCAGGGGGGGCCGGTTGTTCATGCAACTACAAACCCAACGAAGAAACTTGCATTGAACACTGGTATCCTTGAGGATGCTCACCGACGTACCTGCTTGAGTTCTAAAGATCATGTCCCTTTGGTTCCTGCATTCTAACTAGAACAAATTTGAGATTCGACAGTCTCAATGCATTGAATTTTTGGATTGAACTTTCCATTGAAGACTTCGGGGCTTGAGACTGTGAGCTTTTATTTGGTTGGACCTCACTGCATACTGCCTGTTTTACTCGCGTGTCAGTGTGTCTTCTAGGCATTTGGCGTCCTCAGAACAAACTCTTATCTCATCTTATCTCTAGTGTGTTCGAAAGTATTGCAAGGACCGTGCCTGGATGCCAACCGAAATGAGAATGTTCCCTTTGCGTTTGCCCTCTGCTGCGTGGCGGTGAAAATGTTTCATCGCGTTCACTGCATCCACGTACGCAAAATTCACATGAGCAAAGCGTGATGAATTTCTTTAACTTGGATGTAGCTTTGCGCTTTGCTTCAGCCAAGATTCTTTGGTAACGGCGCTGAAATTCGGTTCCCAGCACCTACCAGGACTAAAGCTTCCAGAACAACTCCTCAGTGGACTTGTGAAGATGTCAGGACAATCAAGGCACCAAAAGTTCGCTGCAAACAGGCACAGCCGGGCTTGATCGCGGGACCTGCTTGCTTTCCATCAGCTTGCGCAGGTCTGGTGGATGCCAACTGGCCGAGTCGGGTGGTGTAAAAAGCCCTGGCCCAAGCCCACGGTGACATATTGAAATCAAACACGCAATCAGGGCGGGTGGCGCCCTCCTTCCTGTTGAGGTTTGCCACGCGCCCTTCGGTTGGAACTTCGCTCTGCAGCACACCAAAGGAGATCAAGGTCGAGGCAGGAAAGGATTTGTGGCATCGGGCAAAATGGCGGGTTTGTTACGGTCACATTGAAAGGATGCAGTTTGGTGGTGAAGTTGAAAATTGGTTAATGGAGTCCAACAGAATGCATGGCATTGCAGCCAGAGAAAGCACGGCGTAAGGTGGCAGCCAAGATGTCAAGATATGGCAGAACATAAGGTCCTAGTAGTTTTTAGATTTAAGTTTAGTTAATTCTTTTTTCTTTCTAATAGCTTCTTGTTCCAACGAGGAGCCCCTAGTAGCGTCCTTGCTCCTAGTATGGAGGCCAGGAGCCCCTCCCCCCCCAAAAAAAAGAAAGCAACACTGGGAGTTGCCCCAAGCTGTAATTCTTGCAATCTCAAGGTTCGCCTTGCGTTCTCCAGAGGCAGAAGTCTCCTTGCCTTGCGCCTTGGAACCTGCTAAATGCGTTCAGATCATTTTTGTGGGCTGCATTGTGATTGCTTGCTGCTACTGCTCCTGCGGCTGCTGCTTCTGCTGGTTTGCGGTGATCCTTCACGGAATGACGGCACCTCTCTTAATCACACAATAACGCAGACGTTGTCGGGTTGCCAGGTGGGTTGTGAGGTGCGCCTCCACCTCTACGACCTTCCAGGGCATTTGCTTCAGCAATCTGGGTGAGGAAAGTCCTCGGAATACCTCTGAATTGGATCGACGCCGTTCATGCGTAGTTACTTAGTTGATCACAGTTCGTAATCGCAAGGCAAGTTACCATTG